GGTTTAATTTTTTGGTAAAAAATTTTTATTTCATCCATTTTAGTGAAAATTACGTCGTCCAAGTAAACAATAACGCAACTGACGGAGAAATCGGTAAACATGAATAAAAAAACATCGTGCACGCCTTTGAAATTTGAAGGTTTCCCGCGATTGCCCCGGATTCCACCATCAGATCCTGACTTGGTTTCAATGGTACCACCTCGGAAGTGCACACTTTCGAATAAAAAAAGAATTTTGGAAATCGGTCCATAATTGACGGAGAAGTCGGTGAACATACATAAAAATATATGTATATACAGACGAACCGACAGAACAGAACCTCCTCCGTTTTGAAGTCGGTTCAAAATTAAGGACGCTATATTAAATGGATAGGAAATAGATTTTTAGATAGGAGAGATTCCATGGACACCGGTTCCGGTACTGATAATGTTAAAAGTCTAAACTTTCTACGTATAATTTAATAACGACATACGACCTTTTCTCAATATTTCTTGCCTCGAGAAGAGCAGCAACGAATAATAAACCCTCACGTACTACAGTCATGTTTGCAAATGACCAGTTGAATACTAGAATTGCTTAAGAAATTATTGTGTGTGCTGTTTACACTAAGATTTTTTTTGGAACACAACTTGTTTATCAGATCAAGAATGTTATGAGCTTTTTAGATCATGTAAGTCATTTATTGCTGCAATTTAAGAGCCCTTCCACATTTTTTGCAAAATATCAAAAAAAAATTGAGCGCCTCGTTTACCCCCTTAGAAAAGCTTTTGACTATTTTCAATAGAAATTCAGTCAGAACGGGGCGCTGGCGCCGTAAATTGCATTTACGGGTGATATTTCGAGTCTTATAAAATAATTATTAATGTACTTATTATAAAAATATATACACATTTTAGTAGTTTAATGATAGTAGATTAGTTTTATGAAAGTTTTTGATAGTAATTCTATTTAATTCAATTTTAAAATACGAGGTAAACCTGCATCATTTATTGGGAAAACTCACGGCGGATAGATTTTTTTTTAATAATTTATGAGATGGAAAATCAATATAATAAATAAATATATATAATATAAAATACATAATGTTACTACAAAAACATATTTCTGATGTCGTAGTAATTAATTTGATCTAATTTATTGAACATTATTGAGAGATTGAGATTTGAAGTTGTGCATATTATCGTTGTTTCCGTAAAGTAGCTGCGGTAGAACGATCATTTCAAAAAAAGAAAACAGTTTTTGTGAATATTCTACATTAACTTACAAAAGGAAGAACAGATCTACTGTTAACTTCTATTGAAAATAGTCAAAATATTTTCGAAGAGGGCAAACGAGGCGCTTAAAAATTACGATTTTTAGCAAAAAATGTGAAAGAGCTCATAAGTGTATGCAAGAAACTAGCATCATGTAAATAAGTAGGTACTATTATTAAGATATATTTTTATATATGTTCTAATATTAGAAAATATAAATTGGAAAACCAACACCATCTTTAAAAAACAATATCAACTAGAATTCGACACTATCAAATAACAATTCAATAGGTTATTGCTCTGGTTATATGAGGCGTAACAATCTGTCTCAAATTGGATAGAAAATACATTTTCTCTGTTCTTGATTCTGTGAAAAACGTTTTTTTTCTTTATTTTACCTTAATATTTAGGGGATTTGTGCGTGGATATGTCACTCCCATAATTGATGTCTAAGAATGTTGTTCATAACTATTCTAAATTAACTAGTCTCTTTTTTAAAGCGATTTAATAATTTTGTATACTAATATCGCATCTTTGGTACATTGGTGCATCAAAGTAAAATTACAAGGAGGTGCTTATAATTGTATATAACGATATACCTATATCGTAATCTATATATATAAAACTCAAAGGTGACTAACTGACATAGTGATCTATCAACGCACAGCCCAAACCACTGGGCTGAAATTTGGCACGCAGGTATAAGAAGGATCGTAGATGAATGTCATTGTGTATTATACAAGCCTGAGAACAAAAACTGTAGTCTACACTTCAGCTCTACACCGAAATTTGGTCTTCTCATATTCATAGTCTGGGTACATCTATACTAATATTATAAAAAAATTGATTGTGTTTGTTTGTATTGAATAGGCTCCGAAACTAGAACACAATTTGAAAGATTATTTCACATTTAATATCCTACATTATCCCTGATGAACATAGGCTATAGAGTGTTTCCAAAAAAGTTAGGGTTCCGTATGGAAACTTCCATAATGAAACTCAAAGTGTGAAAAAAATACCAAAACATAACTTTATATCATGTACGCTGCGGAAGTTATTGACAATACAGCGAAGTGATTTAGTAATGTTTTATAGAGGACATTTATATCTACAAAAAAGGCTGCAATACCATATATCTAACTATTACAGTTATGCCACAACTACAGGTAAAGAAATAGATAACTATATTGTACGTAACATTTGTCTACAAATGATTATCTGGAAAGGACCTTGGGCAACAATGTATGGACGCTGCACCCACGTCCGCCACGGCTTAAACTACATTTGTTTGAAAGGTATTAAAGATCATATGTGCCAAAACGCATCAAATTCCATCCCGCGGGTATTTAGTTTTTTTAAGTTAAATATGTACAAGTACTATAACGAACGAACATTAATGAAACACGGTAATTAATTTAGTTAGTTCGACCCTACATAGGGTGCTCAGGAATTATGGGAGTACTACACAAGGTGCAAGGTTGCCCCCTTATGTTAGAGTAAATCCAAAAATCCCCGCATGGGTTGAGTTTTTTTTTAAACCTTCTGTTCGTTATAGTAAATTGTCTTACATGTAAAACGGAGCGACCACAGATTACACAAACTTGTTCACGTTTCAATCACATGATTCGAGTTCATCCATACTAATTGACAAAACCGATAATCGTGTTCCAATATCCAAAGCGTGTTAGATAAAAATCAATCAAGTAGCAGGGAGCGCACAATCACAACGAAGTAAGATGAGTCGACTATTTGCAACTGCAAGTCCTTCACCATCCGTAAACCGTTTTAAAATGTCTCAGTAAGAGCAAGCGCAGGATGGTCGGCAGGCTTTGTCGTATATCTGGTTGTATAGTACGGTATGGCATCTTATTATAATTACTAATAATCTAAAATGAAGGTACTAATATAAAATGAATTTATTCAGCTACTTAAATATGCCCATGTGTCATATCTATTGACTAGCAGGATATTTTTACGGTGTCATATATTTTGACTCCCAGGATATTTATTTTCGGTGTCATACTAAAAAAGGCTAGTTTTTCATAGATCTATCGATTCATACTAATTACATTGTTGGCGGAGCTGGGTGCGTTTTGCCCATTGTCCTTTCAATTACAAAATATGTTGAAGAAGAAGAAGTTGCGAGCAAAGACCTGTAATTTATACAGTCAATAAACACAAAACTGAAAAAATGTTAGTGAAGTAAATAAGTATTAAAGTAAATTTTTTAGGTTCGTATTGTAGAATGATTCTCAGTAATGAATTTAATCTTGAGCATAGTCAGAAAGAGATGTCGCTAAATATAGCACACAGGGGCATCCCTCTCTAACGCTACTAAAGTAAAGATCAAGAGTTGCCATTCTGTAATACGGGCTTTTTTCAGTTCCACGAAGTTTTTTCATTAGATAAGCTATTGTGTTGTAGTCAACTTTCTCGGTAACCACCTATTATAGCTCATTCCACAGCTAAATCATACGAGCAAGGAATTTCCCTTGAAAACGCTCGGTTTTAAGGGCACCCGCTGCCTTAAGCAAGAGAACGAAGCGTGCTGTTTATTTCATGAATTATTTTCTCCTATAAATTGAATGCTTTCTCAGTACAATTCACTGTCAAAGTGTACCGATATGGAGATCTTCGCGGATACATTGAAGAGAATTTACTGTCAATTATTATTATTATTCAAATTAGCTTTGTATTAAAATTAAATATACAATCAAAATTTCATAACATTTAATTGCTAGTTAAGTGTGTATTGCATGTCGCTTCGCTTATAATTAAGGTTCCACTAATAAAGTGTCTAACTAACAAAATGTTTTAATAAATGAAACTTTGTTGGCGATCAATAAAATAAATCACCAAAAATAGAGTACAATAAGTTCTGAAATATAACATAGTTCATCTATTTTGCCTCTATCTGGCATGTGATTATCCATTTCTTTAATTTTAATAACATGTCATGGTAATAATGAAAATTTAATGTCATTTCATTGAACGAAACTGCGTGAAAACGGATCCCGCCCCGAGGGGGACGGGGCACGCTCGATTGGCTGTCTTCTATTGTCTTGTTTGTCTATATCGTTTTTGGCTAAGTAGTATTACTAACCAAAAATAATCCAGTATCGACTGTTCAACCGCGCGATCGAAATTGTATTGACGGGGCGCTGCGCCTGTTGAATTTTACTTGAGTACAGTTAGAAAGGGATATCGCTATGTGCTATATATTGCGACATCCCTTTCTTACTATGCTCAAGACTAGATTAATCAGTGAGAATCTTTCTATAATACAGGCCTAAATATCGTTGGCTACGGAGTACAGAACCAGTTTCCGCGGCGGACGTCCACTCCGTGCTCCCGCTTAAGGCAGCGGAGGCTCTAAAGTATAAGAATGAACTCCCTGTCGAAGGCGAGCCATGCATTGTAAAAGGTGGACATGGGCATCATATCAAACAGTTTCTCAAAGCACTCTCCCTTATACAAGAGGTAGAACACACATAAGGAGGCCCAATCTCACCTGTGGCTTAAGAGCTCAACGCAGCTTAAAACATTGCATTTAAAAAAAATCGTCAGAGTAGTATTGCAATGAAACGGAAGAGAGTTAAATAAATTTGAAGGAAATCTTTTTTTTTTACTATAGTGGATATCGTACGGAAGCATTTTCCTTTTTGTCCAGGACTTTTATTAAAATTCTGCCTTTTTGCTGCTAAGAGTATTCACCTTTCGGATAAATATGAACAAAAAATAATAAACCTGTGTAGCGCAATCTCTTGCTTTTTCTGTATCGCTCGCAGAACTCTATTCTCGTTGCTCAGCTCCTGTAACAAATAATTATTGGATCAACTCGATATTGATACGATATACATATATAAAATTTTGTCTACATTAAAATATAACACGAGGGAAACAACATCCTTCGCTCGCTCAATATCCTTCGAGACATGATGCAATATCATCAACTTTACATTTTGAATAAGTACGAGTGTAACGAAAGTAATTGACATTATTTTTTCAAAAATATTCATTGATAATAAGAGTCGAGAACAATCTTGAACCTACTTATGACATAATATGTTATTTGTGTTTCAAAGTTAACTCTTGCTTGGAAGAATCTGACGAATGTGTCCTAAATGGTTTTTTTTTTTATTTTTTTGACGTGACAACGTCTTAAATTAGGTTGCGGCTGGGAGTCACTTATGAAAAAGTGTAACGCTCGGTAACGTTACGATGAGTCTCTCGTGTTAAGTTTAAGTTTACATGTACAATGTTTTAGTAAACAAAATATATTTCTATAGTTAAAATTTGTGCAATTCTTATTTTCATTCAATTCCTTGTTCCTATTGTGCAATTTAATTATATTCATATCAATAAATATTCTACCGAGAAAAAGACGTTGTCACGTAAAGTAAAATCTTCGCCCGTAAAACCGACTTTACAGGCAACCATTTTTTTTTTATTCTGTTTTATTCACTTTCTTACAATGGTCTGGGTTATTTGATTTGTGTTTTTTGTGTGTTTTTTTCATTGTTTTGTCAGACCCAGTCCCGGGATGACGCTATTCCATACGTCCCCGGGGGCTGGGGCAAATGGAATATTTACACTGTGATTCATAATTAAGACAGGTTCGGCACTGTTAGATTTCTGGTTTTTTTTTTTAATTTCTAATCCGCCCAAGGCTGAGAAGTAAGCGTAACCTACTTTCTGGGTACGATAAAAAAAAATAGACCAATCAAAGGAAAAAGATAGATCAATTAAATTCTTTGAGTAAAAGGAACACAACAAGATGCTTAAGAAATCGTCGTTAATTAAGAAAGGTGGTTCCCCGTCGGCTTTTATGCAGGTGACAGGCTGATAAGCTGTCGCCCTCACTGCTTTACGAGTCGAAAAGTAGTACCTACCTACGACATTTATATGCAGAATTTTATCATGACCTAAAAATTTATGAAACGTATGATATTAAGTGTCTTGAAATTACTTTCTGAACCATCTTTCTGTTAGAATATACTTTTTTTGTTAAGTTTTAGTTTACTTAGACGACCTCCGTGGCAGAGTGGTTTATACGCCGGTTTTCATGGTGTCGCCGACTCGAGAGGTCCCGGGTTCAAATCCCGGCGGGGGCAGATGTTTGTGTGATGAATACGAGCATTTGTACTCCAGTCATTGATGTTTAATATTTATTTCTATATAAATGTACTTATATATGTATTCTATCCCATAACACAAGCCTTACAGTGCTTACGTTGGGGCTAGGCTAATTGGTGTAATGTTGGAAATATTTATTTATTTATTGTTAATATTTTTTAACGACATTGATGTATGTTTCTAGCATTCCAAGCTCCATTGTTTCGCCGATGGCATGACAATATTTAAAGCCATCTCTTCGTCATCCGATGTTGAGGATCTTCAATCTGACCTGGCTCGACTTGATGCCATATGATGGATTGATGGATATTGTTTAAAGAAATAACCTTGATTTCAAAATCCTTTAAAAATGTTCAGTCGTTACATTCACACGGAAAATGTCAATCACTCCTTCGCGGTATTCATTGAGACGCCAAAAATCAAATGCACAAAAAAGTAGTAACGTGGTTAGGGACTTAGGAATATTGCACGATTCCAAGACTTTGCTTTCATTATCATGTCGAAAACATTGTCAAGAAAGCATAATAATGCGTTAGAATTCGTAATACGAACTTCGACCAGCTTCAAAGAGATTAAAACTCTCAAAATGTTATACTGTACCTTTGTTAGAAGCATTCTCGAATATGGTTCAGAAATTTGAAATCCTCAGTATAACAAGTACATCCATAGCGTTGAGCGAATACAAATGATTTTTTTAAATTTTTGTGTTATCTTTTGAAAATTGCCTATGTTTCTGACAATTACTTACACATTTATGCTCACAAATTCACCTTCTTTCCCGATGGAAGCATCGTGAAATATCATATATACTTGCTCAAAATTATCTCTATCAAAATAATTATATGTTTTATATAATTTAATATCCCGGCAATGCTAGGCATTCAATCCGATCAGTGTGCCCCTGGTCTCCTCAAACTAGTACCGTCAAAATTCTTTTCTGCTGCGAGCAAGTAACAGTCTAAATGATTTATGTAAAGTAAAAAAATTGGACATATTTCACACTAGGTTGACAAATGCGAGGCATTTAATGTGTGAAGATTTCTTTAAACGGGTAGCGTAATTGAATAAATTGTGTTTGCAGTGCTAACTGAAAACCAATAATTGGCCAACTGTTTCTATGGATACATTTTTTATTATGTTTGTGAGCTGGTTTTCCAAAATAGTAAATAAATAAATAAAATTAAGAAAGTTGCGCAGAAAATTAGAAAACTTAGAAAATTCCAATTAACTTAAAACTCCACCCAATAGGTGACGCTTAGTTTTTTTATATATTTTTATGGGGGGTAGGACAACGCTAGTTTTATTATAAAAGGAAACAAAGTTAACATTCTCACTTGCAGATGGTAATGAGCGTCGACTGGTGAGTGCTACGACGTGCTGCCTTCATTCAGCGGGTCAGACGCTTGCGTTTGTTCAACCTTCACATTTTTTTTTAATATATCTGACGTTTTGGATTTTTTTAGGCTCCAGTGTAGCGACCTCGGAGTGTAAAAGATGCGTGACGTCAGGTAATAAAGAAAACATAGTTTACTTTACATTCTCACCTGCAGATGGTAGTGTGCGTCGGCCAGCTGGTTCTGCAACTGCTTGACGCGGTGCGTCTTGGCGGACAGCACGCGCTGCGTCACGTAGCGGTCGCCAAATCAGCGAGTGCTGCGGCATGCATGCCGTCAGTCAGCGGGTTTTGATGTGTCACATTATCACCTGCAGATGGTAGTGCGCGTCGGCCAGCTGGTTCTGCAGCTGCTTGACGCGCTGCGTCACGTAGAGATCGCTGTTCAGCGAGTGCTGCGACATGCTGTCAGTCAGCGGGTTCAGATGTGTCACATTATCACCTGCAGATGGTAGTGCACGTCGGCCAGCTGGTTCTGCAGCTGCTTGACGCGCTGCGTCACGTAGAGGTCGCTGTTCAGCGAGTGCTGCGGCATGCCGTCAGTCAGCGGGTTCAGATGTGTCACATTATCACCTGCAGATGGTAGTGCGCGTCGGCCAGCTGGTTCTGCAGTTGCATGACGCGCTGCGTCACGTAGAGGTCGCTGTTCAGCGAGTGCTGCAGCATGCCGTCAGTCAGCGGGTTCAGATGTGTCACATTATCACCTGCAGATGGTAGTGCGCGTCGGCCAGCTGGTTCTTCAACTGCTTGACGCGCTGCGTCACGTAGAGGTCGCTGTTCAGCGAGTGCTGCGGCATGCCGTCAGTCAGCGGGTTCAGATGTGTCACATTATCACCTGCAGATGGTAGTGCGCGTCGGCCAGCTGGTTCTGCAGCTGCTTGACGCGCTGCGTCACGTAGAGGTCGCTGTTCAGCGAGTGCTGCGGCATGCCGTCAGTCAGCGGGTTCAGATGTGTCACATTATCACCTGCAGATGGTAGTGCGCGTCGGCCAGCTGGTTCTGCAGTTGCATGACGCGCTGCGTCACGTAGAGGTCGCTGTTCAGCGAGTGCTGCAGCATGCCGTCAGTCAGCGGGTTCAGATGTGTCACATTATCACCTGCAGATGGTAGTGCGCGTCGGCCAGCTGGTTCTTCAACTGCTTGACGCGCTGCGTCACGTAGAGGTCGCTGTTCAGCGAGTGCTGCAGCATGCCGTCAGTCAGCGGGTTCAGATGTGTCACATTATCACCTGCAGATGGTAGTGCGCGTCGGCCAGCTGGTTCTGCAGCTGCTTGACGCGCTGCGTCACGTAGAGGTCGCTGTTCAGCGAGTGCTGCGGCATGCCGTCAGTCAGCGGGTTCAGATGTGTCACATTATCACCTGCAGATGGTAGTGCGCGTCGGCCAGCTGGTTCTACAGTTGCATGACGCGCTGCGTCACGTAGAGGTCGCTGTTCAGCGAGTGCTGCAGCATGCCGTCAGTCAGCGGGTTCAGATGTGTCACATTATCACCTGCAGATGGTAGTGCGCGTCGGCCAGCTGGTTCTGCAGTTGCATGACGCGCTGCGTCACGTAGAGGTCGCTGTTCAGCGAGTGCTGCAGCATGCCGTCAGTCAGCGGGTTCAGATGTGTCACATTATCACCTGCAGATGGTAGTGCGCGTCGGCCAGCTGGTTCTGCAGCTGCTTGACGCGCTGCGTCACGTAGAGATCGCTGTTCAGCGAGTGCTGCGACATGCTGTCAGTCAGTGGGTTCAGATGTGTCACATTATCACCTGCAGATGGTAGTGCACGTCGGCCAGCTGGTTCTGCAGCTGCTTGACGCGCTGCGTCACGTAGAGGTCGCTGTTCAGCGAGTGCTGCGGCATGCCGTCAGTCAGCGAGTTCAGATGTGTCACATTATCACCTGCAGATGGTAGTGCGCGTCGGCCAGCTGGTTCTGCAGTTGCATGACGCGCTGCGTCACGTAGAGGTCGCTGTTCAGCGAGTGCTGCAGCATGCCGTCAGTCAGCGGGTTCAGATGTGTCACATTATCACCTGCAGATGGTAGTGCGCGTCGGCCAGCTGGTTCTTCAACTGCTTGACGCGCTGCGTCACGTAGAGGTCGCTGTTCAGCGAGTGCTGCGGCATGCCGTCAGTCAGCGGGTTCAGATGTGTCACATTATCACCTGCAGATGGTAGTGCGCGTCGGCCAGCTGGTTCTGCAGCTGCTTGACGCGCTGCGTCACGTAGAGGTCGCTGTTCAGCGAGTGCTGCGGCATGCCGTCAGTCAGCGGGTTCAGATGTGTCACATTATCATCTGCAGATGGTAGTGCGCGTCGGCCAGCTGGTTCTGCAGTTGCATGACGCGCTGCGTCACGTAGAGGTCGCTGTTCAGCGAGTGCTGCAGCATGCCGTCAGTCAGCGGGTTCAGATGTGTCACATTATCACCTGCAGATGGTAGTGCGCGTCGGCCAGCTGGTTCTGCAGTTGCATGACGCGCTGCGTCACGTAGAGGTCGCTGTTCAGCGAGTGCTGCAGCATGCCGTCAGTCAGCGGGTTCAGATGTGTCACATTATCACCTGCAGATGGTAGTGCGCGTCGGCCAGCTGGTTCTGCAGCTGCTTGACGCGGTGCGTCTTAGCGGACAGCACGCGCTGCGTCACGTAGCGATCGCCGTTCAGCGAGTGTTGCGACATGCCGTCAGTCAATGGATTCAGACGCTTGCGCTTGTTCAGCAGGTTCAACCGAGAGCTACTGCTGTACACGCTCTCCAAGGACTCTTTCCTGAAACAACAAGCATCCTCGTTAATATACAAGAAGAAGATTGCAAACATTTATTGACCCATATAAAATATAGTAAACTAAAGAAAGAACAGAAATACAACGAACTATTGGCCGCACGATCGGTCCGTCTCTCGCACACTTATCTGTCTGGTTTCACCTTATAGTTGGACAGGAACCGCTTAGTTGATTTTCTATTTCTGTGCTACGTACAGACTTAGGGTAGCTACACACATAATTGGGTCGGCATAGCCGGTTCGGCAGTGTTTGTCGAAATAATTACTGCCGAACATCCATCCACATATATTCGATTTTACCGTCCGGCTGTGCGAAAAAGATAAACAGTTACTTGGAAATGGAAAACCATCGGTATTTTATTTTGCATTCAAACCAGTGTCGTAGTTTTCCTTCCACTTTCGCGCCTACTCACAGTCACAGATATAGAGACAAGGAAAAAAATAATCTTCTTTTGATTAATTTGCTCTGATTTGTTTGTAAGAAGCGCTTTTATGCGCGTGCTAGGCCCACGAGGCGCTTATTTATAACTGTTATATCAATTTCGCGTACAGACTCACCGTGCGGGGGTGTTTTATGGGAAACATGAAATTCTATTAAGTCCGTAAGTTAGATGAGCAAAAAATAATGGACACGTATTTTTTTCTTCTGTCAATTGACTAAAAAGTTATAAAGTTATGGCGCGTCAAAGTTTGAAAGTATACACACATGTGTATATAGTAGAAACAGACAAAAGTACATGCAATCAAAATTATTTTAAAGCTAAAATAAATTTTCACCATACCGTGGTTTATTTTTGTTGAAAAATCGCCATGAAGGTTGTGCCACGGAAATAACGATAATTAACATAATTCAGATTTATATATCTTATTTAAAGATATAAACAAAATACATATAAACAATGTCGATGACTTAAGTTGTTGACTAAGCATGTCGCGCTTTTTTTTACTATGTATAACCTATTTATATTTTTTAATATGTATGTATGTATCAGGCTAATAAGCCTGATATAGTGATGATAGATGGGGAAAAGCGCCTCGCAATGATAGTTGATGTGGCCATCCCTCATGACGAGAACCTCATGAAAGCCGAGAAAGATAAACAAATAAAATATCTTGACTTGGCTCATGAGGTTGTCGCCATGTGGGATGTTGACTCGGCTATTATTGTGCCGATAGTTGTGACAGTCAATGGCCTGATAGCTAAGAGCTTCGACTGTCATCTGCGGAGGCTCGAGTTGGGTGACTGGGTCAAGGGCCTGATACAGAAGGCAGTGCTCCTTGACACGGCTCGCATAGTGAGGAAGTTCCTCTTTCTCGGGCCCTAACCACCGGTAGCTAGGACCCTGTTCCCGCTGCCGGTTGGCTTCTATTTTTTATATTTTTAAATGTTTTTATTTTTATATCAATATTTAGAAATGTAATTAATATGGTATAAAATAAATAAAGAGAATAATAATAAATTTTATTTTCTTTAACATTGGTTTAGTTACACTAAATACTCATGACTGAAGCCACCTTTTAAGCAAATAATGCCTGTGACAGGTGACTCCGCTCTTCCATACCTAAAATTACAGTTTGCTTATCGATCTTCATGTTTAAACAAAAATATCAAACAATAATAAATCTTTAAATTTTTACATGGTTTTTAAATAAAAATACGTTACCACGAAAGTTGCTTGGTCTTGGCTGTTTAAAATTTTTTGAAGAATAACTAATTGATATTTTTTTTTGCAGCACAGCGAGGAGCAACACTTTCGTCTTCCAGAGATGATTGAGAATATCCTCGTAGTTAAAATATGTAGCTACATGTGTGCATCATTAAAAATTGTGAGCCGTTTAAGACACGCACTCACAAAATTGCTAAAACGTGTGACAACGGCATTCATACAAATTTTTTTTATTAATTTACCTCAGATTTTTTCGTTTTGGCATTATTAAACATTGTTTAAATACCATATTTTGACATACAGAACATACCTAAGCTTTGCAGACCAAGAAGTTATTAAAGGTTTTTCCAAGCGCGTATAGAGTTGCTTTTTAACTCGTGAAATGGGTATCTATTAGACACACACTTGTTAGTATTGAAAAATATGGCGGTGACGATTTTTTTCCTTTCTTTTGCTTTGTTATTAAATTCACTATGGTTCTGTAACATTCAAAGTAACATTTACTTATATGTACTCTCGCCCATAATCTAGGGTAGATGACGAAAATAAAATTTATTATGCTAAAGAATCTCTAGCAAACGAGCTTTAAGAGGATTTGAGCCGAGGGGTAGTAACACAGGTTTTGTAACCTAATACAATCTCCAGCTCTCGCAAAGAACTGCATTGTTTTTACTGTTTTAGTCATTCGACACCCTTCTACTTAATTATAATGTTACTTTGTGACAGAAAATAAATCATTCATTCAAAAAAAAAGGGCGGGACAGCGTTTTTACTCCTGATTCCGACCTTTAAAACTTATTTTAAAATGTAATATAATATTAAATGATAATAAGTCATAGAAATACTAAGAAATAAGAGGCATAAAGCAAGACTTACTTCAAAGTAAATAAATAAATCTTAAAATACTGAAATGGTGAAATGGTGAAGCTTTTAAAATGAAATTTTATTAAAGGAAAAGTGGATTACGCATACACTGATGGGTGATAAAACTTGGGAACCTCGAAAAGTACCTAACAGCATCGGGTCATAACTCCACGGCTTTTGAACTGCGAAGAAGCTTAGATATTTTATTATTAGCATCCAAGTTATAAAAGCCTTTAAACTTAAAGTAAGCATATAAAGTAAACAACTGAAAAGGGTCATCCAGGGTCTTTGCTTATTTGTATTAAGTTGACAAAGGTGTATGGTGTCGAAATTTCTGAAACGATTATGAATCTTAAATCAAGCGACGTAAAACTTCAATGTACTCGTACAGGTAACGAATAGAGAACAGTATTACTTTCTTGTTCCTATGGAAATGATGGCAAGGCAAAGAACGCTAGGTATCTCCATTAGCCCGATTAAACTGAAGAAATTTATCTATTACTAGCTGTGCCCTGCGGTGTTAACACTAACACCATACCAAATTTTATTAAAATTGCTCCAGCCGTTTAGACGTGATGAAGTAACAAACATATACACTCACAAACTTTCGCCTTTATATTATACTAGCTGTGCCCCGCGGTGTTACCCGCGGTTTATTAGGGATATTTTCCCGCAGTAAAACGTAGCCTCTGTGTTAATCCAGGGTGTCAGCTAACTCCATACCAAATTTTATTAAAATCGCTCCAGCCGTTTAGACGTGAAGAAGTTACAAACATACACACTCACACACTCTCAGACTTTCGCCTTTATATTATACTAGCGGCCCACCCTCGCTTCGCTTCGGTGTAGAGCTGAAGTGTAGACTACAGTTTTTGTTCTCAGGATTGCATAATACACAATGGCATTCATCTATGATTTTTCTTATACCTGCATGCAAAGTCTCAGCCCGATCGGTTTAAAATTGCCAGTTTCATACAAATTTTCATTCCCTATTTTATCCCCTTGGGGGTAGATTTGATCAAAATCCTTTCTTAGCGGATGCCTACGTCATAACATCTACCTGCATGCTAAATTTCAGCCCGATCCGCCCAGTGGTTTGGGCTGTGCGTTGATAAATCACTATGTCACTCAGTCACCTTTGAGTTTTATATATATAGATTAGTGTGAAGGTGTCTCAAAAGAAAGTTCACATTTAAAAATTCGATAAAAAAAGTAAGGAAGTTAGAGAAAAAATGTTTATTACATTTTTTTGTATTAATTATATCGACCAAATGTGAACCTTTGCGCTCACGGCATTCATTTAATCGAGCACTAAAATTGCGTATTAGTACAGTCAATCTGTAGGTTGAGTGGTGAAAAAAAAAACCTAAAGGGTAAGTCTTGTTTTTTCTGTTGCCAAATGACGTCAGTAAGCCTTGGGGATGGGCATGTTCAACTCGTAAGAATTTTTTGAAAAACTCAAAAAAACCCTCAAAAATTTTTTGAAACGTATTTTTCTTGTTTTGTATGCATTTTAGAAACTTTTTTTTCGACCATAATTGTAGAGGGCGTTGAGTACTATAATTAATGTTACTGTTGCAATCTCGTACAACAAAAATTGCGCATTGTAGGTGGCGCTAAAGTCTCAAAAAAAGTGTTTTTTCACTTTTTCACCCTGAAAATATCATTTTAATGGAAAACTTTAAATGGAAAAGTTGTTCCGTACATAATTACCAACAACTTTTGTGTAAACAATTTTTTTGTATTACTTACCGTTTTCAAGTTATAAATTGCGCAGGTATGAAAAATCCAATAGAGCGGTTTTGGGCAGTTCAAGTACACATTTACAGTGCACATTTCAATGTACATTTTACTATTTTTTATTGTTTTTCATGTTTGAAAAAATAAATAAATAAAAATAAATAGTATAAACGTACATTGAAATGTGCACTGCAAATGTGTACTTGAACTGCCCAAAAACCGCTCTATTGGATTTTTCATACCTGCGCAATTTATAACTTGAAAACGGTAAGTAATACAAAATAAATGTTTATACAAAAGTTGTTGGTAATTATGTACGGAACAACTTTTCCATTTAAAGTTTTCCATTTAAATGATATTTTCAGGACGAAAAAGTGAAAAAACACTTTTTTGAGACTTTAGCGCCACCTACAATGCGCATTTTTTGTTGTACGAGATTGCAACAATGACATAAATTGTAGTACTCATCGCCCTCTACAATTATGGTCGAAAAAAAAGTGTCTAAAATGCGTACAAAACAAGAAAAATACGTTTCAAAAAATTTTTGAGTTTTTCAAAAAATGCCTACGAGTTGAACATGCCCATCCCCAAGGTGGCTTACTGACGTCATATGGCAACAGAAAAAACAAGACTTACCCTTTAGGTTTTTTTTTCACTGAAACGATATTTTTTTCGACAGATTGACTGTACTATATGACATTGCTCGGCAGGTATTCTCCGTGATGCCTGTCATTTCTTTTTTTTATGTTATAGGGGGCATACGAGCAGACGGCTCACCTGATAGTAAGTGATCACCGTCGCCCATGGACACTTGCAGCACCTGGAGTATCACAAATGCGATGCCGGCCTTTAAGGAAGGAGTACGCTCTTTTTTTGAAGGTTTTTAGGTCGTATCGGTCCGGAAACACTGCTGGCGACAACATATTCCACAGTTTTGTCGTACGTGGTAAAAAATTTCGACAAAAACGCACGGTTGTGGATAGCCACGTATCAAGATGATGGGGATGAAATTTTTGTCGCGATGTACGATGGCGAAATGCAGCAGCTGGAATTAATCCGCACAATTACTCAGAACACTCCCCGTGATAAATGCGATAGAAGATGCAGAGCGAAGCTACATCCCTACGCAAAGCCAAAGGATCAAGCTGATCGGAAAGGTCCTGGTCGTCGACTATTCGAGCCGATCGGCGCTGGATGCGATCCAAAGGGAGAAGCTGGTACTGGGGTGCCCCCGCCCAAAGATGAGAGCAGTACTCCATTTCGTCACGGATATTTTCAAAGAAGTCGGTTTACTGGCTTAAACTTTTGATTTGCCATAACTCCATAGGAAAACGTCCATAGATGTTAAATCGTGACTGCGTGGAGGCCAACTTATGTCGCCTCAGCGCTCAGTCATCTGGTTTAAGAAGTTAAGCCTCTAACCAGCATCCAATTTCGCACAACTGAATTTTGTAGGAGTGCAGTTGAATCTTTGTGTAAAATGCGGAATAATGATGATCTATGCACGTTCACAGCACGCTTATGAATGGTAAGATTTGGGTCATCACGCACAGATTAAGTAACACTTTCTTAGTGTCGCCGCACACGGGCTACACGCCACAGCCACAAAACGCCGCCACCGGCATATTTCTTGTAGTTTTCATACATTTTTCATGGACTCGCCACACACGGTACGCCCCGGTGGCCGCCACACGCTACAAATCGTTGTTGCTCGCTTCTTGTGGCCCGCACCGGCCACTTAATGCGCCGATACAAAACGCCGCCACACGTCACTCGTGCGATTCCCCACCCCTCTCTCCCTTACCTTAGTCGGCCGCTGTCGCGCGCTTCAGCCACTTTAGCTGCTTCTAGCTTCTAGTGACGGCGTTTGTGGCTGTGGCGTGTGGCCCGTGTGCGGCGTAACGTAATTTTCGACCGTTCTCGAAGACCTTGGACGCCCAGATTTTGGTTTATCCAGTGTTGAACCGGTCTCTTCAAACTTCTCGACCCATTTTCCAATAAGCCGAGCGCTTGGCGCATCATTTAAGTGACGAATATGTCGAATATTGCAGATTTTTCTACGCGCTGCAGTCGCAGAATTACCGTTTTTGTAAAACTCACATACGCAGAACGCACGGTCCTCTCCCGGGAAACGTTCCATAGCGACCACTTTAAAAGTACTCTGTGATAGCGACTAAATTCCCAAGAACCAGGCTACCGATTCGCATACTGGTCAGAACTCACGGACTGCAGGCAAGCTAGGGAAGCCGTTCCTAAGGTAAACCTGCAGCTAACACGTAAGTTAATCAGACTAACTAGACAAGTCCTAAAACAAATCGTGGGTATACTCACGGGTCACGGCTACTTCAACAAACACCTCTGTAATATAGGTGTCATAGGGACAGCCCTCTGTGCAGAGCCTGCCTGGAGGAGGATGAAACGAGCGCTCATGTCCTACTGGAGTGCAGGGGCGTTGAAAGACAAAGGACTTCTCTAATGGGAAGCCCGAAGACAATAGTAGAGGCCTGCAGCAACATTCGGGGACTGCTGAGCTTTCTGGAGGAGCTGGGATGGCAGCACTGATGCCGATCACCATACAAAATAGGCACTGGGTATCGAGTTGCGGAAACAGCCCGCCGTACTACTAAGACTAAGACTCCTCGCGCCGCTCGGATAGTTGCGTTCACGCAATAAGCAAAACACATATTTACTTTCTCTTGAGACACCCGGTACATACGTAGGTAGCCACAGTAACCATACTATTCCACGCAACAAGTAAACGAGTTGTCGCTGAACGAGAATTTATTGGATCTTTTAGTATTTTGTTCTAAATCTTGAACAATGACACGGAACCCTTCGCATGCGAGCCAGACTCCCACTTTGCCGTAATTGTTTCTATTTACATTGTCATTAAGCAATATTGTACGTTAAAATTCCAAATTGTTCGAAGTAATAGTGTCACGTGCGGGCCTAATTACAAATAGCTGTGCCGACAAGTGTTTACACCTGCTGTTAGTTTTAGACTTAGGTTTTAAATATAGAACGGCTTAGGATTAATTGACCTGAACGGAATAAGTTGTTATTATATTCTAGGAATGCCTAATGAATTCTGACTAGGGTAGAGAAACATTCCTGACATCTGCAACCCGTCCTGTTACCTTTATACAATTTCTGTGAAAATTTCAACTGCCGACAGTAACCGGTTCGCATGAGGCGGAGGGATGAAAGACTATTAGTAGACTAACGGACGGACAGGTAAAATTACCATCTACTATATAAAAATAAGTCGGGTTTTCCTTCCTGACGCTATAACTCCAGAATGCACAAACCGATTTCCACGGTTTTGCATTCGTTGGAAAGGTCTCGGGCTCCGTGAGGTTTATAGCAAAGAAAATTCAGGAAAATTTTCAAAAAAAAAAAAACCACTTTTAATCACCAAACGAAATGTTACATAAAACGAAGCCATCTGATGGCGAAACGGAGTTCGCCTGGTTTGCTAGTTCTTTATAAAAATTTTCAAGTTAAGAGTAATGTACATACTACGCAAATCTAAGTGCTTATAAAACTAGTCTTTTGGGGTTATAATCGCCAAAATCTGAAAAAAGCGTTAATCGCTCGAGGTCAAAACTTGGATTATTGGATCTCAATTGAATCAACATCATAAACAAGTCTACAAAAATTTAGAACTACAGGTAACGCAAGCTCTTTAGTAAGTATAAATTCACTGAAAATAAAACTTCGAGGTTTTATTTCGGAAACTATAAGGGTCTACATTGACACCGCAGTTCTAATCACATTGTAGAAAATTTAGCCTACTTCAAAATCGTCTAGAAAAGGTACTATCAAAATTTGACATTTTTTTATAATATCGCCAAATTTTGAAAAAAAAAAAGGCGAAGTTTCCACAGTTTTTTCGATATTTTATATAGTTGCGTTCAGCGCTCGAGTTTACAAACTTGGAAAAACTGGAAACTTGGAACGAGAATATCAGAACTACTTACCGGATTTGACGCAAATTACCCCATACTTTCGAGCGACAATTGTACTGGATCTTATTGTTTCTGCTCTGCTCTTCCACCAAGACAATAAATGAGTTGTTGACTTAAAAATTTAATATTTTTGACTAGTACTTATCCAGTCTTATAAGGTAAGCCAACACTAGATGCTAACTCATTTCGAACAGGTGAATATTGACTTAAACAACTATTCTCGTAGGAATTTAGAATCAAAACAACACACCTTTGATCCTTTTTTCTGTTCTCTGGTATAAGACTCAGAACTGACATTCTTCCAAATCACTAACTTTCAGCCATTGTCTAGGTAACCTCGGCCCGAAATCGAGCCAATAATCTCGATATTTTCACAGTTATTAAAAAGCAAATAAATTAAAAATTGCAATCGTTTTGTTGTGCGCACCTCGTTGCCATGGCGATCAGTGTGGCGACCGGTGATAACGAGTCAATCGATTCGAACCCATGATACTGGTCGAATTATATCGAAAGAGGTCGGGTTACTTTTAGGAGGCGTCCATAAATAAATTAAATAAATAAATATTTCCAACACACACCAATTAGCCTAGCCCCAAAGTAAGCACTGTAAAGGCTTGTGTTATGGGATACTAGGGTAACGGATAGAATACATATATTGTACATATATAAGTATATTTATATGAAATACATATTATACATCCATGACTGGAGTACAAATGCTCGTATTCATCACACAAACATCTGTCCCCACCGGGATTCGAACCCGGGACCTCTCGAGTCGGCGACGCCATGAAACCCGGTGTATAAACCACTCGGCCACGGAGGTCGTCAAAAATTACGTGAGATGTTTAAAGCAAGCCATACACGGTTTACCTGACAGGTTTACCTGTACAGGTAAACCGGAGCGTGTATGTCACATAACTGCACAGGTTTCCACGCCTGTACAGGCAACTCAAAAAATATGAATTTTGATATTTTCTACCTGTGCAGTTAAACTGTGCAGGTAAAAATGAGCGTGTGTGGCGGTCGTCTGCTCAGGCGTCAGTTGTCCGGTGATTGTTATAGGGGATGGACGTGTGGCGCTCTACTGCATAAGTACAAAATATCCGTTCCGCTTACGAGACGACAAGACATTTAAGTACAAAACTTATACAGTAGAGCACCGCGCGTCCTCCCCTCTGACAAGGTAGAAACTGCACAGGTAGAAAATATCAAAATCATATTATTTCATTTGCCTGTACAGGCGTGGAAACCTGCGCAGTTATGTGACATACACGCTCCGGTTTACCTACACGGACAGGTGGTCTTAACTAGTCGTAAATAAAAGCACGAAGCATTTTTTTTTTCTTTTTACAATAACAATCCAACGCGTTTACGTAAGAAACCCACATTTTGTAAAATCTCACATGAGATTGGGGGATGGGGGATCTCACCAGGGGGAAGGGAGGGACAGAAAATTCAAAAAAAACACCTCATTTAATTTATGGACGCCCCCTTATCTATAGTGATTCTGAACCTACCGCAATGGCTCCATAACACTTGGTCGTTAGCCCGAATACCATTACCAATGGAATTCAGATAAACGACTACATAAGTGTAAATGAACCGAGGTGAGTACATCCGTATTCGGTTAGTTTCGTTTTGGTTACCCGACACCGTCTTCCAGCCTGTATTGCAGTGTAAATATTGCTTCGGGTGCCCGAATTCGGGCTAACGACCAAGTATAATCGAGCCATAATAGTACATAGCTATTTTAGAATTAACTCGAGCGTGGCAGACATTGAAAAGGGATGTTACGTGAACCCTCCGCCTAACTCAAATCAATTCAAAAGATTGACTATTTGGACAAAAATCATGGCCGATTGTTGATTTTTTTTGTTGCCCTCAACGGTTGACCCTACTTTAAGGGCTTAAGTATGGTAGGAAACTTTACAAGGTACAAGGTTGCCTCCAAGTTTGGAAGGAGTACTTCACATGGTACAAGGTTGCCTCCAAGTATGGTGGGTGTACTTCACAAGGTACAAGGTTGCCTCCAAGTATTGTAGTTCATCTTTCGAAACAATTTTAGTAAAGAATATTTAATTTTGCCCAGTATTTTACAGTACCTAGTCAGGAAAGAAATTGGCGGGTGCTAACGACTGCAGATGCAGCCGGGAACCAATGGCTTTGCGTGCCTTCCGAAGCACGAAGGAACTCGAGATAGAAGATTTTTGGTCACCCCATCCAATGACCGACCATTGCGAAAGTTGCTTACGCAGCCGAACGCGCTAAAGGGGCCGTTCAAGTATTACGTACGCAGATTTATTACAATTATTTACCCCCTCCTCCCCCTTGTTAGCAAAAGTAAGCAAAGCTCTTACTCCGTTACGTGCCTACGTAAACATTGGTACTTATGCATTTTTCCTTTAATGTATTCTGTTTTTTTATTCATTCATTAGCTTTCATGAGCTTAATGAGCAGCAGTACTTAAATAGGCTTAGGATAGAGGACTTTAACGCACATATTATTCATTGAAACAAACTTTATTGACAGTTTTCAACATTGAGTAAGGTCCTATTACGAACAAAACGGACTTCATTCGAATTTTTGGTACTTATATGTATACAATCTTCAGTCCATTACACCCGAATCCATGATGCTGACGTAATCACTATCTCGACCCCCCACCCCCCATGTCATCAAAAATAAGCAACGCAAAGACCCCCCTGCCCCAATATACTGCTTACGTAATACTTGATCGGCCCCAAACCACTTGCGCGCTTCTCATACGGTTGACCAATACCCCAGCAGTGAGAACATACCAATATAATAAGAAACTCACTGTTTACAATTTCATATTTACAAAACATATTCTGTGAAAATTTAACCATGGTCCACCGACAAACTAAAAGTGAAAGCTCAGAAATAGGGTACCGTTTTTACTCTTTGCTACGATTTGGGTACGACCTCCGCAAAGCAAGAGTTAAATTTGAACAGAATATGTTTTTCCATTGACACCACCTAGGGATGAATGAAACAACGTTATTGTAATCAAAATAATATACTTATTAACAATTTATTTTCACTGTACAAATTAACAATGTACGTATACATACCACACACAGTAATAAATAAAATATTATTTACAACAAATGTGTATTTTAACAATATTTGTTAAAGCATTTTTATTATGAGTTCTATGAACCAAAAGTTGATTTATTTGAGAAAAAGGGTCAAATATTATTAAAATGTTCTCAGCAAATGACTCCGCCCCACCTTATGTTAAGTGACGATGGAGTCACTTAACATAAGGTGGTGGTAAAATTCTTTTTCACGCCTTTTAAAGCACCCTGAATTATAAATTCGCGGACCAGACAGCAGACAGGATTCGAACCCGCACCCTCCGCTAACCAGATGCGCTGACCATTATGCTACCGCGGCCCTGACAGCCGTGTCGACTTTCCTCTAGTATTTCTTAAGACTGCAAGGCAGCGCCATCACTGCGCTTTGGAGATAACACATAAGTACACAAGTACTTGTAAAGGTATTCGTTTGACATTTTTTCTAGTAAAATTTGCTTAAGAATCAAATGAGGTAGTCAGCACGTAGTAGTAAATTGAAAATAAACATAATATTTATAATAATTCTAAACAAATATATTATTTTTATAAACAATATTCTTGTAATGCAAGCACTTCGCGTGGCTTTTCGTATTTCTTATATATCCTTATCATGCTCTATAGGGAGTGAAAAGGAAAGACCAAATCCAAGTTCACATATAGCAAATACGATTAGCCATGTAAAATGCCGAAATAACGCAAATAGGCATATCTATTTACATACAAAATTAATAAAAAAGTAAACAGTTTCAAAATAGATCCGAAAACTACGAAACTATTACAGATGGCGGTCTGGCCACCTCCTAAATGATGTTTCTGATAATATACGGAGAGAATAACCCATACCTATCCAGTTCCAAGGGCGGATCCAGGGGGGGTGTCATGGGGGTCCAACACTACAAACACAGGTCCACAGGTTCAAAGTCGCTCAGCGCGCTATGGAAAGGGCTATGCTCGGCGTTTCTCTGAAAGATCGCATCAGAAATGAGGTAATCCGACAGAGAACCAGAGTTATCGACATAGCCCACCGGATTAGCAAGTTGAAGTGGCAGTGGGCTGGCCATATTTGCCGAAGAACCGATAACCGTTGGGGTAGACGAGTTCTGGAGTGGAGACCGCGTCTAGGCAAACGTAGTAGAGGACGTCCTCAGGCACGATGGAGTGACGATTTGCGCAAGGTGGCTGGCAGGAGCTGGATGCGAGTAGCCCAAGATCGATCTGAGTGGCGTGCATTTGGAGAGGCCTATGTCCAGCAGTGGAGTATGATAGGCTGTTGATGATGATGATGATGATGATGATGATGATCCACTGTGACTTGACCACGACTATATGACGCCCCCCCCCTGGCGCCAAAGCTGGATCCGCCCTTGTCCAGTTCTGTAGTAAAACTGGGCAAAAAAGTGTGTCAAAGCGAGGTCTCCTACGCCAATTTTCTAACAAAACAAGTTATCTAAAACAAATTTTATCGTCGTTAGCAAAACTGTTAGGCCACGCCTCTAATCGGTTAGCGAACAATGTTATCGTGTTAGCAAACAATGTTATCGTGTTAGCAAACAATGTTATCATGTTACCAAACACGAAAACACGGCACAGGTGCCCCGGCTTTAAAGAGACGAATGCGAACGCGCGGCCTATAGATCTTATAGAGGTGTTGGCTGCGCCATCGCTTAATGTCTCTTTTTTTATATAGCCAGGTAGGCAAATGATTCTACCCCACCTGATATTAAGTGGTGATAAAGTCCAAACGCGAAGATAGCTGGTACAGCAGTTATAAAACTGCCACACCAACCATCCTCACCTTGCCGGCCTGCAGAAATGCTTCTTCACGCCTCTCTTTAAGGACCCCAGATTGTAGAAAGGAGGGAACACGTGTGCGGGAAAAGAATTTTAGACAGATTTGTCAATTTTATACGAGTGTCGCTAGTCTATTCGATGACTATGATTAGCACCAATCACCGACTACACAGCCCCTTAACGCCTAATTATAGACAATAATTTACCTGACGAGACTAATAAAATCAGATAAATCCCGGAGAGAAATATTCAATCAGTGTCGCCTGTTGGCACGCGTTGGGAGTGCTAAAAAAAAGTCCAACCATCACCATATAATTTACTAACATTATGACCTTATAGTAGGGTATTTGACAAGTTTTAGAAAACGAGCTCACGTTATTGACTAATGTTTATGGAGTCCGTAAAAAGTGGATATTCATCATTCTGTTGTGTATTTCATTAAAAATAAACATGTCAAAAACTCCATTTTCAAGTTGCCGCGAAAACGTTTCTCTGGACAATATGGCGTCTTACTAGTGTGTGACGTCACACGACTGTTAATAAAACGTCAAACGATACAATGTAATGTCACTTTAACAGGAAGTTTACTTGCGTGTGACGTCATTTTAGGCTCCGCCAATCCCAGGCGTTTTGGGTCACGTGACAATAGATAAGAAAACTATTATCTTTTACTTATATTTTTTATTATCTTGTATTATACACACTAGTAAGACGCCATATTGTCCAGAAAAACGTTTTCGCGGCAAATTGACAATGGAGTTTTTGATTTAGTTATTTTTACTGAAATATACAACAGAATGATAAATATCCACTTTTTACGGACTCCATAAACATTAGTCAATAACGTGAAATCGTTTTCTAAAACTTGTCAAATACCCTATTACATAAAGGGTAATAAGAAGAAATCACAGTTTTTTTTTATTAAAGAAGACTCCTGCTTCTATACCCAAACAAGGCTTCTAGGAGCTGTATAGTCGGTGGCACCAATAGACCCAACCAACGTCAAATACAGCATCGTTAAGGTATAATATCAGAAGTGACATTTCTACTAAAGTACCATAATTATTCTGTTTCTTAAGATCAACATTTGATGTATTATAAATTTTATTATGTAATGTCCTTCTCTGTAGCATTAAAATCTATGCAATTTAGAGTAGAATGGATGACGACAATGATCACGAAAAATCGAAAGTCAAGTTTAAGAGTCTGTAACAGAGATTTTTAACTAAAATTTCAATTTGGCAGTATTTTTCGTATCCAACTTTAATATTTTAATGAGTACTTTGTTCTGTCCGAATGTGAATAGTTAATTCATACATTCATGATTGAATACTGCACCACCAAACACCAAAATAATTCGCGTACATTTCACTTCGCACTTTAGAAAGAGAGAGATTATAACTTCCGACTTATAACCGACAAGAACTCGCTTTTTATTCCGCTTATTTAAAAAAAAAAGACGTCACTTCTGCAACAGAGTATGAATGAAAACCTCCGATTTTAACTCTTGTTGTATATATACATAATATTTAACTTCTTCAATGGAATTTTAAACCTTAAACACATGTGATGTAATTATTTTACTTCTCCAATGTTTCAAGTCCCTTGGGTATAGGTACATCTCTGTTTTGCTTGTCCCACAACTTAAAGTAGTTGGTCAAGGGTTCCATGCTCGATGATGAATTTCTTATAAATCTTTCCCTCTATATAGATTCCGTGATCATTGATGTATTTCTTAAATTTCTTCGCTTAATAATTCGCTCTGTTTTGCTTTACCCACAGCTTAAAGTAGAGGAACCTAGGATTCCGCAGTAGTTGGTCAAGGGTTCCATTCTCGATGATGTATTTCTTAAATTTCTTGGCTCAATAATTCACTTAGGCAGTGACCAAGGGCGTCGCCAATGGGGCAGACCAATAAATGTAGCAAGCCGCAAAGCGACCAAAGTGCGAGCAATTGACTTCCTTACCTATAATATTGCCCCATTGCCCCCCCCCCCCCCTTAGTCATAAGCTGGCGACGCCCTTGGCAGTGACACGACTCTGTTTTGCTTTTCCCCCAGCATGTAGTGGAGGAAACTAGGATTCCGCAGTAGTTGGTCAAGGATTCCATTGTCGATGATGAATTTCTTAAATTTCTTCACTCAATAATTCACTTAGGCAGCGGCACGTCTCGGTTCTGCTTCTCCCACAGCTTGTAGTAGAGGGAGCTAGGGTTCCGTAGCAACTGGTCGTGGGTTCCGCTCTCGGTGACGTTGCCCCGTTCAAGTACGAATATTTCGTCGGCATCGGCGACAGTGGAGAGGCGGTGCGCTATACATATAGAGGTTCTGCCTATTGTCGCAGCGCGGAGGGCCTGCAATATCGCCTGTCAAAGAAAACAGATATTTGTAACAATCAAAATAAGATAAGAAATAAAAAAAATCAACACACACCAATTAGCCTAGCCCAAAAGTAAGCACTTTTAAGCTTGTGTTATGGGATTCTATGGTAACGGATAGGATACTGTACATATAAAAATATATTTATATAGAAATACATATTAAACATCCATGACTAAAATACAAATGCTCTTATTCATCACACAAACATCTGCCCCCACCGGGATTCGAGCCCGGGACCTCTCGAGTCGGCGACACCATGAAACCTGGCGTACAAACCACTCGGCCACGGAGGTCTTCAGATGCTGTACACGACTTTTCTTTGACGACGTGACGTCACAGACCGGCGATCACGCAAATAATATGTCAACAATAGGTATATAACTTATGAAATAATAGGTAGCACAATTTAACAACCATTAATTACGTTCGAACATACATCCTTGATTATGTTTCGTCTACTAATTCATTCCTGGAATCATTGCTGTGTCTGAAAACACGATCATAAATAATATTTCATTGTAAAAAGTGTTTATCGTAATATCTTTATAAATACCGAACCAAATTACGATTTAATGGTATCATTGCATTCAGAAAATTATTCTCATTCCATTTCACGGCTTGTTTTCAATAAATATGAAAATCACATTTTCAATAAAAAACAAAACTAAACGTCATGTGACGTCATGTGTGCCTAAGCGCATTAGACACCTTTATCGTTGTAACTGGCGTCTCGACAGTCGCCCGGTGACATTACTACGAGGAGGCTGTGTCGCTCGTCACCAAATCCAGTCCGCCGTATAGAACATTCTAGTGGCACCATGTTTGGTGGGCCGATTACCGAACCAGTGGGCCAGTCGCCTAACCAGATTGCTTTGGAAAACGCTATCGCTTACGATTTCATTTTGTTATTTCTAACCGCCGAAATACCTCACGCTCATTTTCTTTAACATTGTTATTACCAATGCAAAAGAAAAAAAAGAGCGCGAGGCATTTGAAAACCTCAGGGGACTAGAAATAACAAAATGAAATCGTAAGCGATAACGTTTTCCAAAGCAATCCAGTTAGGCGATTGGCCCCCAGGGGGATGAAGTGGCACACCGCCATGCCCCTTAGTTTTTAGTTTTTTTATGGCCTTCTGCCCTCACCAGTAATGTCTATTGAGTAGTTCATGTAAGTAAAAACTTAATCTCGCGGCCATCGTGCGTGCACGTGGTGTGACATGGGGTCACCCACGCCCGATTCTTCGAGTCTTCGGCTTCACCGATGGGCTCAAATGCCCATGAGCTCCTTCCGCCTACGCGCTTCCTGCTGAGGACTGCGGCGTCAGCCCGTAGACCCCTACCACAGAATATATACACTACGCGAAAAGAAGCGACACTTAAGCACGCGCGGGGCGTGGAGACGGCAGTCGCCGACTGCCTCGACCGAAGGGATGGCAGTAGCGAAATAGTAAAATAATAGCGTTGCACTGCATTGCACACACGGACTGACTACGCTACGCAATCTTATTATTATTTAGATAATAATAAGAATTATAAAACGAATCGAAAAAGGAGAAAACATATAAAAGTTAGCAATTTGTTATAGTACCTACATTAAATGATTAAAAATTGATTATAAAATCAAACCTATCCTTCATTATTTACCCCAGTATCCTTGAATCAGTTTACATTTAATAACTTACTATGCATAAATATTCATTGGCACAAGTCTAAATTCCAAGTTCAACCCTAGCGCATACACGCTCCTGCTCAAGGTCACTGACGCTGGAACTCTCACGTACACAGAGTGTCACCGCTGTGCCCCTACCATCAGGGTGCAGCATGCTGTGACGTCGAGGGTTGACTTCCTGAGGCATCACCGCCACCGTCGCTTCGTTCAACGAGGGAAAGTGGTACCACCAGTGATGTGTGTCGAACAGTGAGCTCACGAGGTTATTTATTCCTTTTTTTTCGCAAGTGCACGCGGGTCATTCCTCGTCGCCACGTGTCCCATCTGGACCTTAATGACTTCGGGGTCGACAGATTATTGCATAGCATCATTGTTATTATGCTTTAAGAACCATTTGACGACCTCCGTGGCCGAGTGGTTTGTACGCCGGGTTTCATGGTGTCGCCGACTCAAGAGGTCCCGGGTTCGAATCCCGGTGGGGGCAGATGTTTGTGTGATGAATGCGAGCATTTGTACTCCAGTCATGGATGTTTAATATATATTTCTAAATAAATATACTTATATATGTACAATATATGTATTCTATCCGTTACCCTAGCATCCCATAACACAAGCCTTACAGTGCTTACTTTGGGGCTAGGCTAATTGGTGTGAGTGTTGGAAATATTTATTTATTTATTATTTATTGTTCCGCTGCGGCCGGCCGCCATGTAACGCGAGATTAGGTTTTAAAATATAAATTGCATGTACCAAAATCCGCCATCTTTGATTTGTTCTTCCATGCTACGGCCTTTGTACTTCAATAGTTCATTGCTGTAACCGAGAGTTTTATCCCGGTACCTTATCAGCTGGGTATTAACTGAAATAACACTTGCTCGTATGTAAGGAGGTTCCGTACCATTAAATAGTAAGGTAAAGTAAAATATTTCGATCCCATTCTTTTTCTTTTACATAGGTACAACGTACTGAACCAATTATAAATACGACATCCCCTTTTACATACGACAATGTTTGTTGATTTTTAATATTATTCGTATTTATGTAGTTGCCTGCAATGTGAGGAATTGCGCTGCATTGCGATTTCACTTGGACGTAGGCCCGAATACGACTGCCGGTGGGATTCGGGTAAACGGCTAAGTGTAAATGAACGGGGTCAAGTACGCCCATTTTCGGGTATTTTTTGGTTTGGTAAGTCGACACCGTCTTTCAGCTAGTATTTCAGTATAAATATTGCATCGGGAGCCCCAATTCAAGTAATGTCTCGGAATATTTTAAAGTGATAAACACAAAGAAAAAGGAAGTTATTCACAAAATAAAATAAATTGACTATATTGTTACAAATACAGTACATGTCAACCCTATACATAGTCAACCAATACCATTACCAATCAGATGGAGTGATAAAAATTTAGAAAGTAAAATATACTGTAATATTAGTATCATCATCATCAGCTCTTAACGTCCCCACTGCCGGGGCACAGGCCTTCCCTATAGATGGAATAGAGAGATTGGGCCATGACCCATCACGTGGGCCCAATGCGGATTGGCGGGTGCTAACGACTGCAGGTGCAACCGGGACTAACGGCTTAACGTGCCTTCCGAAGCACGGAGGAACTCGAGATAGAAATTTTTTTTGGTCACCCATCCAATGACCGACCACTGCGAAAGTTGCTTAACTACAACGATCGCAGCCGAACGCGCTAACCACCTGCGCCATCGAGCTCCTCAATAATATTAGTATGTTCCAAAAATATTAATGATACAGGAAATTCGGCTCACGAGCTCGGTAATAGAGTCACGGCCGCCAAAAACTGATTGATATACGAAAATAAGCTCACATGCTCGGTAAAAGAGTCCAAACTGGAGGTAGCTTCGTCGAACACAATATTAGGGAAATGCTTGAGAATGGCGCGAACTATTGCCGCCCGTTGTTTCTGACCGCCGGTAAGTTTTAAATGTTCCAGAAACTGATAAATATAGAAAACTAGCAAACCCCGCGAACTCCGTTTCGCCACCAGATGGCTTCGTTTTATGTAACATTTCGTTTGGTGCTTAAAAGAAGTTTTTTTTTTAATTTTTCCTGAATTTTCTTTGCTATAAACCTCACGGAGCCCGAGACCTTTCCAACGAATGCAAAACCGTGGAAATCGGTTCGTGCGTTCTGGAGTTATAGCGTCAGGAAGGAAAACCCGACTTATTTTTATATAGAAAATTAGACTCACGTGCTCGGTAATAGAGTCCAAACTGGAGGTAGCTTCGTCGAACACAATAATAGGAGAATCTTTGAGAATGGCGCGAGCTATGGCCACCCGTTGTGTCTCACCGCCGGACAGCTTTAAATATTTTAAAACTCTATTGTGACAGGATTTTGGACTCACGTGCTCGGTAATAGAGTCCAAACTGGAGGTAGCTTCGTCGAATACAATAATAGGAGAATCCTTGAGAATGGCGCGAGCTATGGCCACCCGTTGTGCTTCACCGCCGGACAGCTTTAAATATTTCAAAACTCTGTTGTTACAGGATTTTAGACTCACGTGCTCGGTAATAGAGTCCAAACTGGAGGTAGCTTCGTCGAATACAATAATAGGAGAATCCTTAAGAATGGCGCGAGCTATGGCGACCCGTTGTGTCTAACCGCCGGACAGCTTTAAATATTTCAAAACTCTGTTGTTACAGGATTTTAGACTCACGTGCTCGGTAATAGAGTCCAAACTGGAGGTAGCTTCGTCGAACACAATAATAGGAGAATCTTTGAGAATAGCGCGAGCTATGGCCACCCGTTGTGACTAACCGCCGGACAGCTTTAAATATTTCAAAACTCTGTTGTTACAGGATTTTAGACTCACGTGCTCAGTAATAGAGTCCAAACTGGAGGTAGCTTCGTCAAATACAATAATAGGAGAATCCTTGAGAATGGCGCGAGCTATGGCCACCCGTTGTTTCTCACCGCCGGATAGCTTCAGACCGCGTTCTCCTACTTGAGTGTCGTAACCCTGATAACAATAATAATTGCACAATTAAGTTTAATATTGGAAAGATGATAATAACTTGCTCTGCCCCTCTAGCATGACCACCGAAACGGGATATGATAAAGTGATATATCGACATTAACTGTCAGACTGCTATGGAGTTTGACAGTAGTCTGACAGTTAATTTCGATATATCGCTTTATCATATCCCGTTTCGGTGGTCATGCTAGAGGGGCTGATGATCCTAAAACAATGAATGACATGTTATAAGAATCAGACCGTCTACCATGAACTACGTTGATATGAAATAAATGTAAATTTTGATGTTCTTTATACAACGATATTGAATGCCCTAGATACACCACGTGCGCTCAAAATGTGTCCCAATCAAGAAGTGCTTGAATATCACTCAAGCACTTCTTGGTTCAGTCACGCACGGACCGTTGAAAAAAGCAAAAAAATGCGAAAAAAATACTTATAGTATGTAAAGTGTCGTTTTTTCGACAGGTAGCTAATCAATGTTAATTTAACGCATTTGAAGTAAATTTTGTTCTAATGCTTACTATTAACTGATTTAATTGATAATATTAGTGAAATTCAAATGCGTGGTCGTTAATACAGCAGTCTTCTTTCCTCACGGTCCATACCTGCTATATTGCTAACAGCGCATTGAGAATTGCGCATAGAGTCAAATAAATAAGGTCTATATTCTTCCGCATATAGCAAAAAGTCGTAAAATTTTACGAGCATGCATTTCTGTCATAAATCATTGACGCGTAAGTTTTAATTAAGACCTTATACAGTATGCATTAAAGGTGACTTTCAATATTTAAATAATGCCTTATATTGTTTTTGACAACGTGATCATCTTACAAAACTCCGTGGATCGTCCAATGTACCTGTCTGGGACACCTTTAGTTGCTTGATACGTTATGATAAGTTCCGAAAAACTGTCCCGAAAATGTTGTTATGTTAAATGATAAACGATGTTGTTTGTATGAGTAATTTATTGCTACTGTTCAATTCACTTAATAAAAGGCGTAACGAGTCGCGCGCAGCGCCGACGTTAGCATAATACTTAAACATATAGAATTGTACGGGTTTGCCCGTACATATTCCCGGGCAACAAGAACAGGAAATACAAAAAAATATTTATTAGATTGATAAGAACTGCTTGATAAGTAACATTATTATGCAAATGCGTTTTTTTTTGTGTTAGTAACAATATTTCTTAGGTTGCTATGTTAGTATAATGCAAAATATGCAATCTGCAAGTAAATTTTTATTAAACAACAATGATTTAACTCTTAATTGATGATAACGATAAAATTTGTTTAAATATGTATGTAGGTTATATTCTTATTGCTTAAATTAATCTTAGAGTTTTTGAAGTCCAACATCTCACACATTCACTAAAAACGAGTATGCAACACGGGAGATGTGGCTTTATTTACAAACCGCGCACTTTTCACTGCACTATCCACCGAACGCGCACTATGCTCTGCACTAAATTCACTATTAGAACGCACGTTCACTGACTGTGCTGCTGGGCAGGCGGGCAGGGTCGCCAGCTGTAGCTGGCCCTGTTCTGCCCCCGCCGACGACGCCGACGCACCCGGCGCACCCGGCGTGCTGGGCACACTCCACCGGCAGCGGCACCGTACCCGACGAATTATCAGGACTATTGTTACGATGCCGGCTACCACGATGATTCCATAGATCATACTGTAGTGGTGAATATCATGGGACGACATGTTGTCTAATGATATATCTACAGTATCTTGTTTCATTTCCTTTATCCTTTCTCCCAATTTAGCAATACTGTGATCAGCATCCATCTCTGTTATGTTTAAGGGAATTTGAGGCAACGAAATATTTATAATATGATTAATAGGTGCGATTACGGGTGAATATATTTCTGGATGGATATTAATTTTATTTGATCGTTCCTTATGTGCCAACATCGTAAAGTTTTCTGTTTTGATAATACAATCACTGTCCATACTAAGTATACCGGCGCTAGACAGCTGTAGTGCTGTAACTTGATCTGCGCATATCTCGCGCAATTGACACCGGTCACAACAGAAATAAATATAATTGTTAATTGTATGACTCTCTAACCAAATATTGTTACATTCTCTCGTAATAGTTTTACATTTAGAATTTTCTATTTCACAAAATTGAGACTCCATCTTTAGTTGATAAATAGGTTTTAAAATGTAACATAAATGAGCCTTGTCCATCTGTTTACAGGCTCTCAGATCGCTCCCAGCCATGTTAATAAAGTTGTCCTTTTTCAAATTGATCGCAATATATTCCGAAATAGGTACTATACTAATCATCAAATCGTTTCTTTGCTGAGGAATTGATATGGTTCGAAATATCTCGAAAGTATCTCTACTGATAAGAGGCAGTCTCACCTCAAATATTAAATAGTCTTGTAACATGCGTGCTTTCACCTTCAACAACTCGTAAAATCGTTGTATATTCAGGTGCACATCGTCCACCGCTAGAGTCTGGTCTTTCGTCAGTTGACTAGCGATAGTACTTAATTCGTCTCGTACTTGTTCGGGAGTGAGTAAGTGGGGGTTAAAACGGCCATGGAAAATGTCAGTTATTGTGTCAATAAGTGTGTTTTGAATTGTTTTCAAATTATGAAGCATATTGCTTGCTACTACGGTGGCTAATGTGAACTCGCTCATTATCAACGTAGATTCTGTTTTACTTTTCAACGTATTCAATGCTCCTTCCAGCTGTAAAATGTGTTGATTTATCATTTTATGCTGCTTGTTAATAGTATCTGCAGTCCGTTTTAAAAGGTTGTTCTCCGCTTCAATGATAGACGTTTGATTTTTCCAAAATAAAGTAATATGTTTTTGATTATCTCTTAGTTGTTGAATGTCCTTTTGATAATTTTCAGCAAATCTTTGATCTAATACGCCGAATAATGAGTTCGCTACATATCCGACTCCGTCAATGAGCCCGCGCCGCTGTCTGGCGGCGCCCGGGACTGATTGCTGACCCAGCAGCATACTGTTGTAGTACTCAAGGTCGGCGATGCCGTGTTTTAATTGTGTCAATATGATATCGCAATGACCTTGTTCTCGTATTGCCTTGCATGTTTGTTCCAAGTTGTTTGTATACTTATTCAGTACTGTAATACCATTCCAATAAGGATCCATTTCATAGTAAATAATGATTTTCCATTCGTCTCTTATCAATTGCATGTCACATACCTTATCAAAATATATTCCTTGATCTTGCCTAAACTGTCTTGTTCTTATGGTGCCTTCAGAGCTTGAAAATAATGTTATAAAAAATAATAAAATAGAAACTGTCATAGTAACAAAATTAAATCGCTGTGTTTTGTGTCTTGTCCGACGCGATTTTTCATTTAATGTTTGTGGCGAGGATTTGATTAATTCCCTGCGCGTTTGCTCATTTTCTTGATTTGATGATACAGGTTTTTTGCTGCTGCTTTCAACATCTATCGGTAATCTTGATAGTTTAGTTATCGGACGTTTTAGAATGCCATTTTTAGTTTTCAGCTGTACTACTCTCACATAGCCATCACTTCCAGGATAGACATCTGTAACCCTTCCCATCAGCCATCGACCAGGGGGAAGGTTTTCTTCATTTATCAAAACGATGTCATTAATTTTTATGTTATTTTGGGGCTGTAACCATTTCCCTCGTGATGATAAACGTGATAAATACTCCGAGCGCCATCTTTTCCATATATCTTGCAAAATACGCTGTGTTAGCTGCCACCTAGTTCTCAAATCTCTTTCAGTCTCCACTAATGTCAAAACCGGACCGGAAGCTAGAAAATGTGCAGGTGTTAAAAAATCTAGATCTTCTGGATCTTCAGATATAGGACAGAGGGGCCTCGAGTTCAAGCATGCCTCAATCTGACTAAGTACTGTTGACATCTCCTCATAAGTCAGTTTTTGCTCGCCTATAACTCTTTTCAGGTGGTGTTTCAGGCTCTTCACGGCCGCCTCCCACAGACCTCCCGCTGAGGGCCATGAGGGGGCATTAAAGTGCCAAAATATCTCCATTTCTGATATAACTGACATAAATTCACTGTTGAAAATGTTTTGTAGTTCTCGATACTCCAGCTGTAATGTTTTATTTGCTCCCACGAAGTTTCGCCCATTGTCGCTGTATAGGTGCTGCGGAGTGCCCCTTCTTGCAGACATTCTTCGTAAGGCCGCAATGAACGCAGATGCGCTTAGATCTGACACCAGCTCAATGTGAACTGCCTTTGTTGCCATGCACACAAAGACAGCCACGTATCCTTTCGTGGTTTTCGTACCACGCCCTTTGTTTGTTTTGATGAAGATATGTCCTGTAAAGTCTACCCCAGTGTGGGCAAACGGCCTTGAGGGGTTTACTCGAGCACTGGGTAAGTCACCCATAATTTGGTTATGTTTGTTATAGTTATATTTTTTACAGGTAACACACTGGCGCAACTGCTTTTTAACGGTCCGATTGCCGCTGATTACCCAGTATTTCTTCCTTATGAAGCTCAAGGTCAATCGAGCCCCACCATGGTAAGTATTTTCATGTGCTTCTTTTATAATTAATTCGGTAAGTCTACTGTTTTGTGGTAACAGAATAGGAAACTTCATGTCATCGTTGATCTTAGCATGTTTTAATCTTCCCCCTACGCGTAAAATTCCTTTATCATCCAAAAATGGATTTAGAGATAATAGTTTGCTCTTTGCATGTAGCTTGCTTTGCTTTTGTAAATAATTTATATCTTCTGCAAACTCTGTTTGTTGTGTGTGCTTGATGATGCTTAATTTTGCTTTTCTTAATTCCTCTATGCTTAAGTAGCTTTCTCGTGTAATATTTTGCTTGCTTATATTTGATAGAAAACGATAAGACCAAGCAAAGATTTTTGTTATTTTACTAAACGAACTGTAGTTATTTAATATTTGATTTATTATGTGCTGATTATTTGCTTCATTTTGTGTAATAGTAGAAACTTGAAGCGATCTTTTGACATCTTCATTTGT